CAAAACATTTCTTCCTACACAAGTGAGAAGTGGTCACTTAGACTAAGGAAATGGGTGTGACCTTCTAAACTCACCTCAAATGTCATCCCATTCTTCATCCCAGCACTAGCACTGCCAGGGAAAGACGCGGATGGAGCACCTGTGCCACTATGTCTGGGACCAAGCTGGCCTGTTCTGGTGGCAGGTAGGCCAGGAAGGACAGTAGTTTTCAAGGAGAGCTTGAGAGAGCACCCCCACTCTCACTACTTAAGCCTGGAGGAGTCCACAGAGATCACAGCCCAGTGCACCCACCTCTTAAGGCCCATCAGCTGTGCTCACTCCCAGTAGCAAATGTAGCTCCTCGTAATCTTGAGACTCCACATTAAGATCAGCATCCATCTTCCTTGGGGAGAAGCAAAGATGTACGGTGGGAGGATAAAGGAAATCTTCCCGGAGCCAGCATCCTCTCTTCCATCAGCAGCCATCTTGCAGATTGTTTCTCCTGCACTTCTGCACTAGGCCAGACTTGTTTTCTGCCTCTTTCCTAACTTGGTTTCTCACATACTTGGCGTGTCCCAAGAGCTCATGGTACTAGTTAATACCCACACTGGGCTGCCCTTAGACCCACCGAACTGGCAACACTGAAGCTTGAGGGACCATTTTTTGATAGCTCTTATGAGTGGTTTTACTTATAGGGGCATATGGAGAAATTTTGCTGTGTGTCTGTATCCACAGCATGCATGTGGAAGTCAGGACAACTGGGGTAATGATTTCTCTCCTTTCCCCATGTGGATTCTGGGGATGGAACTCAGGCTGTCATGATTGGCAGCAGATGCCTTTACCTGATAAGCCATCTCCCTGGCTCTCCTTGGAGATGTTTGGAAGAACACTGTAGGGTTCCTGGTTCTGTCCCAGCTTCCCTTCTCATTCTGACCCAAGGCTTTTGACCTGTGGGGCCAGAGCAGATCTGACCCATGGGCATGTTCAGTTGGACCCTCATTGTCTTTTTTTTAGTCAAATCAATTGCCAATATTTTAAAACTGAAAGATACAATGCAGTCTTCTAAAACAATAACAAAGGTGAGGCTTTGGGAGTTCACACTCCCCATCAGGTCTTGGTGACAACCAGGGAGGACTTCCCTGTTGGGTCTGCTGCTAGGGAAGGGAGCAAGCTCAGGCTCCAGTGCTGGCTCCTGCAGCTCACCCTGGCACTGCCCATCCGGGTCCTGGAGGCTCCTGGAGCAGATGCTAAGAGGAGGGGCAGATCTCCTCGGACTTTGGAGCTCCATCTGTGTACTGCTGACTATGACCTCCACCAGGAATCCGTACACCCAATTCACCCTTCCACACTGAAATGCCTCTCCTTCCCCAGCTCCCGACCACAAATCATCCTTCACAGTCCTCGGCCCCTGCCGTCTCCTGCCTCTGAATGACCTCAGTCCACCAACCACACAAGGCAGGCCCTGGAACCATCTTCTCCCGTTAGGTCTTTGCCCAGGCCCATTTACTCAGTTCTGCCATCCTGTTGATTTTAGCTCCTAGGGGTCCCACTGGTCTACCTGCTTCTCTCCTCTACTCACCCCTCCCCGACCCAAGCCGCCATAGACGCTGCAGGAGGCCTCATTGCTGCCACCCTGCTCCCCACGCTCACGCTATTCTCCACAGGGCTTCGTAAAAATGCAGACACACCCCGTAACTCTTGGTAATGAGGCGAAGTCCAGACACAAGCGGGAGCCTCCTTGACCTGCATCCACATCTGTCCCCAGCACCTCTGCTTCCTCCGTTCTGGACGCCTAGCAGTGTTCAGGTGCTAGGTTCTCATCTGGCCCTTGTTACCCCACAGTTGCTCCACTCGGGAGAGGTTTGCCCCCTCCCCACCTGGATCATTCTGTCCGATCTTCAGCCATAGGCATGGCCTTGTCTCCATGAAGTACCTACCCAGGTCCAAGACCAGTGCTGGCACTTCTCCTGGGCACCTCCACGGTGGCAAAGTTGCCGGAACCAAACATGAAACGAAAGACCAGTCTAATTTGAATATTAGATCAGCAGTGGGTGTTCTGCGAGGCTCCTGCAGGGCATCTGGCTTCTGAATTTCATGAGCATGCCTGTGTTCACATCCCTGACTTCGCTGCCATTTTCCACGCCTTTCTGTGCAGGCTGGGCCCCTTGACTGCAAACTCTTCCAGGCCTGTGTTGTACCAGCCTGCCACTGCAGTTTGGAAGCCCAGCAGGAGATGTAAAGATGTTTGGACTGAAATCTGGTTGTAGATTCTAGGCAAAAACACAAAAAGGTGGTGTGTTGGGATGGTGAGGGATGATGGGAGCAGGGTCTGAGCCCCAAAGCTCACTATTCTTTTCCTCCACTGTACTGCCTCCCTCCCGGTTCCTGGGGTGAAGGGGTTAGCTTCATTCCAGAGGAATGGCACAGGAAGCCTGTCAGAGGTTCTGAGCCTAGTGCAGTGACTTGTTCTATCATTTTAGCCCAGGAGTTCAACGGCCTGGCCATATAGTGAAATGTTGTCTTGGAAAAATAAAGAAGGCAGCAGAGAGCACAGGCTGCTCTTGATGAGAACTCGGGTTTGGTTTGGTTCCCAGAACCCACACTGCAGCTTACAACCTAATGTAACTCCAATCTCAGGAGACCCAGTGTCCTCTTCTGGCCTCTGCTAGCACCAAGCACACATGTGGTACCCACACATACATGCAGACAAACACTCAGATAAAAATATTTAGAAAAGAGGCTGGATTGGTGGCTCTGGTAAAGTGCTTGTACAAGCGTAGTGACCTGAGCTCAGTCCCCAGCACCCACTTTTTAAAAAACTTTAAAAAGAAACCTAAATACAGTGGTGCTCCCCTGTAATCCCAGCACTGGGGAGGCAGAGACAAGGCTAGTAGGGCTCACTGGCCAGTGAGTCTAACTGAATCAGAGATAGCTCCAGGCTCAATAAAAGACTCTATCAAACACATACACACACACACACACACACACACACACACACACACACACCCCTGATGTCAACCTCTGGCTATTATACATGTGCATACCACACACAAGTACATACAAAATAAAGTAGAATATGAAAATAAGCTCATGAAAACTGGCTGCCGAGAGACTTGCACTGACTCCCCTACCCTTGGAACACCCGGCAGTGAGCCCTAGAGAAGAACAGTGAGTGCCTTGGAAGATGCAGAGCCTGAGAAGGTGCCGCCTCCTGGATCCTGGGCTACAGCGCCCTGCATGGCTGCCTTCGAGCTGAGCCCGAAGCTTTTCTCAGGCTTGGCTGGTTCCTCAGGCACTCCATTAGCAAGGCTGCTAGCAGCTGGGATCTCCCACGGGATTCCCGGAGGCCTAGGGTCACTTCTCTGCAGCACCCCAGAAGAAGCGCCTGTCCCCAGGGCTGGGTCCAGCCAAGCAGAATGACCAGGGGTACACAGGTATGTGCCCACAGGGGATCTCATAGCACTGTGGAAGCATGTTTCTTTGGTATGTTTCTGTGTCTCAACAGTTAGGTTCCAAACGCATCTCTGCCTCCTAGCAAAGTATGGGTGGGCATGATTTGCCAGTGGCTTGTACATTTCACCTCATAGACAAAAGAGACAGGAGTCCCATTTACTCCGCGGAAGGCTGTCACTGCTTCCCAAGCCCCTAGAGCCCACCTCTGACCTAAAGGAACTGTGACATCAGAGCTGGAAGGTGCCTCAGCCTGCTGCGTCACCTCAGCCTGCTCCATCACCTCCAGCTTCTGCTTACAGAGATGGAAATGGTGCCAGGGAGGGAGAAGGGTGTGGCTGACTAATGACAGAACTGCTACCACTCTCCACCCTGCTCCCCACAGCCTGTGGGACGGTATGCAGGGCACATCTAGGTCTGCCAAGTGGACATTTCCTGCTCCTAGGGACCCAAGCATCTGACCCAGGCAGCAGAACTAAGGCTGCCTGAGAGTACTCCTTCCTGGAGCTTGTAGAATAGCTGCTCTCAATCTGCGGGTCACAGCCCCTTTAAGATCAAATGACCCTTTCCCAGGAGTCTCCTAGGACACCACAAAACACAGCTATTTACATTATGATTCATAACAGTAATACAGCTATGAAGTAGCAACGAAATAATCTTATGGCTGGGGTCACCACAACATGAGGGACTGTATCAAAGGGCCGAAAGGCTGAGAACTACTGTCATAGAAGGAAGCTACCCTCCAGGCCTTGGGAAAAGCAGGGTATGCCATCTCAGGCCTTCCTAGAAGCCTCATGACTGTGCCTGTGGAGCAGTTACAGCCTTCCATGCACGACTCTGGTCTCCTTACCTGAGGGGAAATGCCCAAGACATTGGCAGGTAATGCCCATTCATGCCCTTGCTAGGAAGCAGAGAGGCACTTGGAGCCTGGGTAGGATGCCATTCATATCTGGAAGACCAGGAGAGACAACCACCTCTGTGCCAGCCAGCCCTGGAAGGGCCGAGGGCAATCGGAAGAGGGGTGCCTGCTGTGACCCCTCTCAGACCTTCCTAGAAACCTCATGGTTGTGCAACTTTCCCTGGACCCATGATGTTCTGACAAGGCCCAATCAGCACTTAGGAAGAGAAGGCTTCAGGCTCCTTCCTGACTCAGCCTTCCCCTCCCCCACTGGAGAAGCAGAACATGGGTGCTCAGCCTCTTGTCAGAAATCTCCACTCCAAGCCAGACAGCTGTTTGGCTGATATATTTAGAAAAGTCCTGCTCTCTTCCAAAGTGTGAACTGCACCCATCACATGGAAATGTGATTCACTTCTGAGCTGCTTCCCACCACCTCCAAGCATCCCCATCTCCTCCCTCTGCTCCTCGGCTCCATGTGTGAAGCAGATGCCTGTGGCTGGTAGGAAGCATCCCAGGGCAGTGGCAAATGTCCCTTTTGTGTTTGGAGGTGACAAGGCATTGTTTCCCAAAGCTGTCTCCACTCTGAAAATCTGAAAACCTCATGGCCCTCATTCACACACACACACACACACACACACACACACACACACACACACACGCACGCACGCACGCACGGTGCCCTCCTATGGTCTTCAGAGCCCTGCATTAACTCCCCAGCTAAGCATGAGACCGTTATACAAACAAATATGCCAACTCTTGACTGTACCTACTGCCTACTGACAGCTTTTATTTTTCCTCTAAAATACTTTTTTCATCTTAAAATTATGAGAGATCACATTTTAAAAATTAATTTCCTGCTTCTCTTGAAGAAAGCTGTGGTATTCCCTTCACTCTAGGCCCTGCTCCTTTACCCCATAGTACCTCCCTGGGAACGGTGGACACCTATCATTTTAGGAGGACGGCCCCCGGACCACCTCATCAGACTTCCATGCTCATATGTGTCTCCTGGCTGGCACTGGAGGCTTTGGGGACAGACAGCCCACACATCCTGGCCTTTTATGGCAGCAGGTAATGAGAGGCATAGGGACATGAAGGAGGGCCTGATTTCCTCATGTCTTTTATTTCTCATTCTCTTATGTCCCTCATCCTCCCTCCCTGCTCCTCACGCCCCACTCCTGTGCCCTATATTACTGCATGTGCCATTTTATTCTGGCCCAGCACCAACCTCCCCATCCGTGCCTCATTCCTTGGGGGTAGAGCGGTGTGATGCCTTAGAGTCAGGCCTGGTTTCAGTTTCCTGTCCACTTTCTGCCCTCACACTTTCTTCAGCCTCTTATACATAAGATAGAGGCCAAAAAAAAAAAAATGCAGGGTATCTGTGAGGGTTGGCTTGACATTACCTAGCCCATTGATAGCCAAGGACATTTGCACTTGCCTCAGGGAGGAGATAAGCGAGTCTATTGTCTCTCCTGCAGACCTGAGGGAAACCCTGTCTGTCCTTACCCAGGTTCCAGCTTCTGTACCCAGACTGCCCCTCAGAGAAGCCCATGTGTCTTAGTCACCATTCTGCTGCTGTGAAGAGACACCATAAGCATGGCAACTCTTATGAGAAAAAACATTTAATTGGGGCTGGCTTACAGTTTCAAAAGTTTAGTCCATTATCATCGCGGTAGAGAGTGTGGTGGCAGGTAAGCGTGGTGCTGGAGCAGTAACTAAGAGCTACATCCTGGTTGGTAGGCTCAGAGTTCTACATGCAGATACACAGGCAGCAGGAGGAGATGCTGGCCTGGGATGGGCTTTAGAGACCTCAAAGCCCACCCCAGTGACACACTTTCAACAAGACCACACCTCCTAATCTTTTGCAAGTAGTGCCACTCCCTGATAATTAAGCATTGAAATATAGGAAACTATGGGGGCCTTTGTAATTCAAACCACACCATACTTCTGACTCCTTGTTTCTTTGTGGACACAGGTTTTCTCTGTGTAGCCCTGACTAGCCAAGAACTCTGAGACCAGGCTGTCCTTGAACTCAGAAATATGTCTGCCTCTGCCTCCTGAAAGTATTGGGATTAAAGACATGCACCACCACCATCTGGCTGCCTCTGACTGAGAGCAAAAACCTCCTTGCACGACCAGTTTCATCAGGCTGATGGAGGTTGGTCAGGTCAGCCCCAGAGCCATTCCCAGGTGAGGGAATCTGGACTGTATGGAGGAAGCAAGCTGAGCATTGGCTCGCACACACTGCTTCCTGACAGTGGACGTGATATGACCAGCTGCTCCCAGCTCCTGCCCTGATGTCCCCATGGTACTTTGAACTGTGAACCAAAATGAACCCCTTCTCCCTTAAGTTGCTTTTGCCAGAGTCCTACCTCATTTCCAAATATAGTTACCCACCTACAGACCCCAGTAGACACCTGACAGCATGACCTTCTATATAGCCAGGCCTAGAGGCACCAACCTGTTATTCAGAAGCCAGAGGAGGCAAGAGGATCAGCATTTCAAAGTCTGCCTGGCCTACTTGGTGACAGCCTTCTCGAAACACAAAGTGAAAAGGGCTCTAAGTATCTTAGTGGTTGAGCGCTCACCTAACATGAAGGCTCTTGGTTCTGTCCCTCAGTGCAACACGAAGACACACACACACACACACACACAAAACCAAACCTATGAATTGTTTATTTCTGCAATTTTCTACTTATTGTTGGATTGCTGTTGACCACAGGTCAATGAAACCACAGTGACAATGTAAGCACAGGGAACTGGGAAGTAAAATGTCAGTTAAGAGAAGGCACGGAAGCCACTTGAACAGGTACCATAGTTAGCCTTGCATAGACTCTCAATGTTTCCCTCTGCAGAATGGGTCCAGCGCACCTGACTCACCATGCCAGTGAGGATTACATGGGTAACAGTACACACGCTGACCTCGGTGCCTGCCATGTAAGTGCTCAGCAAGGTTAGTAGTTCTCACCATTTCCGCACCTCTCTAGATGCAGCTAAGAGTTGTTCAGAGCAGTCTCAGTGTGCGCGCGCCCTCTGTCCTCACCCAAGCAAAAGGGACTGCCCACACGTCTGCTTCCACAACCTTTGTTCAGTGTCCTACAAGCCTGCTATTACCTGATGCAGGGAGCTGACGTTAGGGTAGGCTGTATTCTTCTGTCCACCTGCCGGCTCCTCTAGATCAACAACAAAATCTTTTTTTGTACCAGGCTTTTTCTTTTGAGCCACCAAACAGCTCCCACATCATGACACAGTGATTTAATATTAGTTATGAATTCTCGGCCTTGCTTACGCTCGTTTCTGGCTAGCTCTTTTAACTTAACCTGTTTATCTACCTTTTTATCTCTTTTCTCTTTAATCTCTTTATGTACCTTTTGCCTCAGGGCTTTTCCCATTGCTTTCTGTATGTGACTGCTTTTCCTGCTTCTTCTGTTACTGTCTGGCATATCCCTCTCTTTCTCCCTCATTCTCTCCTCCCTTCTCTCATTCCTCTCTGGAACCTAGATTTCTCCTCCTATCTATTCTGCCTGCCAGTGGCCGCCATCCCTCTTCTGCCTAGATAGTGCCTTTTACTAGACCAGTCAGGTGCCTTAGGCAGGCAAGGTGAAACAGCAACCCAGCTTTTCATCAGTAAACAAATCAGCAGAAACAAAAGTAACACACCTCTACACAGTTAATGTAATATTCCACATCGTAAACAAATGTAACACACCTTTACACAGTTAAAGTAATATTCCACATTGTAAACAAATGTAACACACCTCTACACAGTTAAAGTAATATTCCACAGCGTAAACAAATGCAACACATTTTTACATGGTTAAATAATATTCCATAACACTTGTGTTTTTTAAGTGCTTTTAAAAATATTATGTTTTTGTTGATGTGTGTGTGCCACATGTATGCAGGTGGCTGAAGAGGCCAGAAGAGGGTGCCAGATTCACTGACTCTCCCTACTACCCACCCAGCTCTCCACACACCAGAATTGTTTCTAGGCTGCACCTTCAGTACAGCATGTCACCTGAGTGCTCACCAAGCAGGGGTTTTGGCCATTCTCAGCCAGCCATCCTGAGGCAGGAGCAACCGCGATCAGGTGGAGAGAACCTGACACTGTGGCAGGGGCTTTGGGAAGACCCGCAGCTGGCAAAGGACCGTTCCTGCTTGAAGCCTGCACTATCCTGCTCAAGCCTGTGTGTGCGACCTCCTGTCTTGTCAGCTACCAGACATCCTGAGCATCGCTCTGAAGCCAGTCTCTGGGGACTGAGCACCAGCCTACTGCAAGAGACATGGGCGGCATTCAGAGCAGCAGTGTAGGCCCTCCAGGGTTTTGTGCACACCGTTCTCCTGGGACTTCGGGTGGACAGGACAAAGCATAAACGATTCCTGGCCTGAGGTACATTGTCCATGATGGCCAGCCTCACCAATCTGCAGTGCCTCAGTTTCCCACACCCCGAGCTTAACCTCCACATGGCCTTCCTGTCACTGGTGCCTTCTCCTCTTCCAGCTAATTCTCTTCCAGGTCTTAAGTCCCGTATCTCATGGAAGCCCAGCCCTGTACCATCTGGGTTTAACTCCAAGTAATCACATCTGTGAATCTGCATTTTTTTTCTTCAGAGCTTATGCAGCACCATTGAAGGTGCCTGTGAGGCTCGTGCCCCCCTCAGCTGTACAGGGGCTTGCCCTTGCCCCTGCCTTCTAGCTGGGTTTGATGCACCGTAGACAGAACATTCACTAAACAGCGAGGGTTAGGGTGCTGGGAGGAGTGAGTGCCACGGGAAGGAAGAAACTGAGGAATGACTGCCTTGACGCTTGCCAGGCCTTTCCCCATTTAGGAATTGCTCAGCTCTTGTAGGAATTTCACAGGCTGGTGGAATCCTCCAGCGGTGGAATCAGCCCAGTGCCCCAGGCCCTGGCAGTGTCTCCCTCATCCAAACTCTTCTGCTCTTCCTACAGGTCCCGCAGAGCAGAACTCCACAGCTTCCCTTCCATTTGAGTGGTCGCAGTGACTTCCTTATGTTCTTTGTGGTTAGGGAAGTTCTGCAATCCTGGCTCCTACGTTGCACACGCTGTTTGGCCTCTCACTCTCCTCAGGGTTAGTAAAAGTGATCTAGCATTGTATTAGACAGAACCTTAGAGATCATCCAGTAAAGGGGTGTCCAAAGCCAGGTATGGTTGCACACACCTGTAAACCTAGCATTTCCACGGCTGAGATTGTCTTGAATTGAAGGCTAATTTGAGCTAAATAGTAAAATCCAGGCCGGCTGAGGCTTCATAGTCCTTTGCCTCAGAAAAAAAAAAAAGAAAAAAGGTATCGGGGAGCACTGGACAGGTTCTTACTGTTTTCTAAGTAACAAAATCCCTTTTCCAAAAAGTAAGACACTAACTCTAAAACTGACATGCTGAATATTACTTAACTGGACAAAGATGTGTTACATCTGCTTAAGTTTCGGGAAGTTACTTTAACTGTGTAAAGGTGTGTTACTTTTGTTTCTGCTGCATTTATTTACTGATGTAAAGATGTGTTACATCTGCTTAAGTTTCGGGAAGTTACTTTAACTGTGTAAAGGTGTGTTACTTTTGTTTCTGCTGCATTTATTTACTGATGAAAAGCTGGGTTGCCTTTGTTTCACCTTGCCTGCCTAAGGCACCTGACTGGTCTAATAAAGAGCTGAATGGCCAATAGCTAGGCAGAGAAAGGATAGGCCAGGCTGGAGACAGAGAATAAATAGGAGGAGAACTCTAGGCTCCAGAGGAAACGGAGAGGGAGGAATGAGAGGAAAGAGGAGAGAACAAGGGGCAAGCCTGGGGTGAGAAATCAGGCAGACACCAGCCAGCCAGCCATAGAGAAGCAGTGAAATAAGACACAGAAGTAAGGAAGGTGAAAATCCCCAAGGAAAAGGTGGATAAAGAGAAACAGGTTAATTTAAGTTAAAGGAGCTAGCCAGAAACGAGCTGAGCATTCATAACTAACATTAAGTATCTGTGTCATGATTTGAGAGCTGGTTGGTAGCCCCAGAGAAAAATCCTGATACACTAGGTATTTATACACTAGGGAAAAACTAGGTATTTCCACCCACCAGGGTACCCCCAGAAACCCAAATTGAAAACCCCTGATCAGGTCAAATGGAACTTTGTGGATAAAGAGATGGCAGCCAAGGGACCTGGTTTCTACCAGGAAAGGTTCTCGGCCCACATCTTTCCCGACATGAAATTCACTATTGGACCGCAATGACCTTTATGTTTAGAGCTACTCTGCTAATTGGTTGATTTATTTTAAGATTCATTTAATTTATTATGTATACAGTTTTGTCTGCATGTATGCCTGTAGGCCAGAAGAGTGCACCAGATCTCATTACAGATGGTTGTGAGCCATCATGTGGTTGCTGGGAATTGAACTCAGAACCTCTGGAAGAGCAGTTAGTGTTTTTAACCACTGAGCCATCTCTCCAGCCCCTAATTGGTTGATTTAAAGATGGAGGGCTCACTGTCTTACCAGGTGGGTCTTGACCGCATGAACACAATCCTCTTGCTTCAACCTCTGGCACAGTGGAGACCTCAGATGGCGCCACCATGTCTGACTCAAGGATGTATTTTTATGAGTGTATTCCAGTCTCATTGGTGGCTGTGTGGTTCTTTTTTTTTTTTTCTTTATGATATTTGTTACTTCAAATGCCAAAAATCTCAAGGAGAAGTTGGCAAAAGGATTTGTACAAACATGTTCTGCAGATCTCCAAATCTTGAAACTAAGATGGTCATCACATTTTCCTCAAACATTCCCACATAGGGCCGTGGAGCCAGGCCCATCTTTTTCGTGTTATTTACTCGTTTATTTCTTTTGGAGTGCAGTTGGAGCACAAACAGTGCGATTGCAAGAGAGATCCAGCTGGAGTGAGCAATGGCAGTGCCCTTTGTGCTGGGACTCATTAAGCCTCCCTGCCCCAGGGATCTGGGAGGCCCATGGAACAAATTCCCTTCTTGGGATTGTTAACATAATCCTCTTTGGAGGGTTGAAGGTCCTGCTAGTGGCCAGGGCAGGGGGCCTGGTGGGCTCTGCAGGAGCACATTCTCCGGCACCAGGATCGGGCCTCTTCTCATTTTCCCATGAACCATGGCTCCTCTGCCTTCCCCACCCACAATCTCCAACTGACTCCTACACCCCACAGCAGGGTGAGGAGTGACTCTGGGGAGCAGGATCAACAGTGTGCCGGACAGCACTTCCTGGCTGCTCTTTCCACCTGTCTCCTTAAGCGCATCAGTCAGTATTGTATGTGTGTATGTATGGGTGTGTGTGTATGTATGTATGGGTGTATGTATGTATGTGTGTGTGTATGTATGTGTGTATGTATGTATGTTGACTTGAGTGTGCCGTGTATGTGCCGTGTGTGTGTGCATGTGTGTGTGTATGTATGTATGTATGTATGTGTATGTATGTGTGTATGCATGTATGTATATGTGTGTATGTATGTATATTGACTTGAGTGTACTGTGTATGTTAGTGTGTGTGTATGTGCATGTGTGTGTTGAATGGAGTGTTCTAGGTATGTATGTATGCATGTTTTATGTATGTATATGTATGTTGTAGAGTGTTCCAGGTATGTGTGTATGTATGTATGCATTCATGCATATATGTATATTGAGTGGAGTGTGTCAGGTATGTATGTATGTATGCATGTATGCATGTATGTGTGTGTGTTGCATAGAGTGTTCCATGTATGTATGTATGTTTGTATGTGTGTTGAGTACAGTTCATGTACATATGTATGTTGAGTAGAGTGTTCCAGGTATTGTATGTATGTATGTATGTATGTGTGTGTGTGTGTGTTAAGTAGAGTGTTCCATGTATGTATGTATGTATGTATGTATGTTTGTGTATTGAGTGTTCTGTGTATGTATGTATGTTTGTATGTGTATTGAGTAGAGTATTCCAGGTATGTATGTATGTTTGTATGTGTGTGTTGAGTAGAGTGCTCCAGGTATGTATGTATGTATGTATGTATGTATGTATGTTTGTATGTGTATTGAGTAGAGTGCTCCAGGTATGTATGTATGTATGTATGTATGTATGTTTGTATGTGTATTGAGTAGAGTGCTCCAGGTATGTATGTATGTATGTATGTATGTATGTATGTATGTATGTTTGTATGTGTATTGAGTAGAGTGCTCCAGGTATGTATGTATGTATGTATGTATGTATGTTTGTATGTGTATTGAGTAGAGTGCTCCAGGTATGTATGTATGTATGTATGTATGTATGTATGTATGTATGTATGTGTGTTGAAAGAGTGTCCCAGGCACTGTGCAGTCCCTCTTATCTTGTCCATGGGAGTGGCAGTATTATGATCACCATTGCACACATGTACCATTTCACAGGGGCTTGAACCAGTTTTAATTCACTTAATGTTTGTGTACATTGCTTCATCTAGTACTAAAAACAATTAACTTGGGGCTGTAGAAATGGCTCAGTGGTTAAGAGCACTGGCTGCTTTTGCAAAGGACCTGGGTTTGGTTCCAGCTCCCATGTGATAGTTCACAACTGTCTGTAACTAGTTCCAGAGGATTTGGTATCCTCTTCTTGCCTCTATGGGCATCAGTTGTGTGTGCACACACGCACACACACACACACACACACATGCAGGCACACACTCATACAAAGATAAAGATAAAATAAATCTTTAAAAACAATAATGAATTCTCTTTTCCCCCCTTATTTATCTAGGGTCTCACTGTGTAATAGCTGAGGCTGGCCTTGAACTCAGGCTCTTTCTGCCTCAGCCTCCCAAAAGATATAAGAGGCTGAGATTACAGGCAGTGCCACCATCTCCAGCTCATAACTAATTCTTACTGAATATTTATTATCTCCTAAGATCTTCATGTGAATAAATGTTTTTTATCATCACAACAACCATATGAATTTGGTTATTATCAGCACCAACCAATTTTGCATATGAGGAAACCGAGGCAGGTTGGCCACTTTGCTCTTAGTTTTATCTTCACTTGGGGTGTGATGTCTGTCTTCTACATGTCAGGGAAGCAGTGTGGCATAGTAACTAAACCGCGGACTTTGAAGGTCTGGGAGTGTAGCTCCGTAGTGGCTCAGCATCCCCAAGGTCTTGAGTTTGAGTCCAGCACCAAAGAGCAAAAGCAGACATGAACTCTGAAGTCAGGCCTACCTGAGCTCCAATGCCAGCCTCATCATAGGCAGGCTGTATGGGTGTGGGCAAGCATGTTAGCTGTCTCTTGCCCCCAGCACATTAGCTCAGCACAACCTATTATCTCAGGAAATCTGAGAGCAGTTCAGTTGAGGGAGGGAGTCTCACAAGGTTATGGTTATCTCAGAGCTCCACTGGGAAACTAACTCCAAGCTATGTCACGAGGACATCTCTCCACAAGCGGGCCTCATGATATGGCAGCTGCCTTCCCCAACTGAATAGCCCAAGAGAACACACACATAGCAAGATCCCGTCTCAAACGAGCACAAAGACTAGGAGGTCAGAAGATTAGGCTCCCAGGGGCTGCCCACAAGTTCACTTCAGCTTCTAGACTTCCTTTCCTTTGTATGTAAGATGGGGTCTTAATGCCCACCACTCAGAGTTGATCTAAGGCCTGAGTGAGACAATGCCATGAAGTTGGAACAGTCTACAAACACTGAACACTCAGTGAAGGCCAGTCGTGTCACACAGGCTAGAAGCTACTTGGGCATGGACACTGTCTTTCTTGATACAGCCTCTCCCTTCACTGCCTGCCTAGCTCAAAGCCTGGCATTTCCTTTCCCTCCACTGTCACCAAGTACCAGCAGTGTCAAGCTGTGAGTGGGGAAAAATGAGACTTTGCCTGCTTTCACAGAGCATGCTTGATTCACAGTCATGACATGCTGTGGAGACATCAGGGATGTCTTTAGGAGCAAGCACATCCAGAACACAGGGTCTGGAGTACCCAGAGGCACTGGCCGCTGCCGCCACCAACCTGCCCTGCTGACATGGTCTAGCAACACAAGCAACCACAGGTTTCCCATCACTGTCTTCCCACTCTGCTCCTCTGGGTCTGAGATTGCCAGATTTCCCCCAAACACTTCTTTGTCGTTCCCAGAGAGGCTGACCCAAAGGCAAACTTAAGTTCCAGAATTTTCAGCCACCTCCCTGTAGCCAACAGTAACTGTGACTCCATGAGGCTTGTCATCAAGGAATAATGTGCTCCTTTTGGGGATGCTTGGTGGCACTGACCACTGCTTGGTATTCAGGAGAGAGGAGCAGAGGACCATTGACAAGCTGTGGACCAGGAAGGGATGGAGCACCGCAGAGGAGCAGTGGGCTGTCCTACCTCCAGATCTGAGCTTGAATCGGGGTTCAGGTCTTGCCTCATTTTTTATTGCTCATGAACAGTCTTATCTGCCCATGGGGTGAATTCCCCATTACCCTGCCAGATACAAGCAACCTCTAAAAACTTAAAAGAAACATTTACTGGGCTGGAAGATAGCTCAGAGGCTAAGAACACTGGCTACCCTTACAGAGGACCTGAGTTTGGTACCCACCATGCAAATGGCAGCTGACAGCACTCTGTACTCCAACTCCAGGGGATCCAATATCCAATGCCCTCTGCTGACCTCCATCAGCACCAGGTACCCACATGATGCATGTGCACGTATGCAGACAAAACACTCATATACATAAAATAAAAATAAAAATTTAAAAAGAAGCATTTTCCTACTTGCAAGTTAATTAACTGGAGTACTTTGTTATAGTGATGGCAAGTTGGCAAACACAGGAGACGTTCCAGGAAACCCAGCCTAAGTGGGCACCCCAGCTCTCCCAAATAACTGTAAAGTTCTGAGTCCCTGTTTTCAATCTGTTCTGCTAAAATAACTCAAGTGATGGCTGTGCCTGCAGCTTAACCTCAGCTGATAATATTGTGGTGTGCTGACCCCATCACTCATGACAGAAAATAGCTCTTAACAAAACATAGGAAAAACATAATCCTAAAATAAAAGGACGTTTTGTGAATTTTATTAAATCAGTCCTGTGGAAGCCCATTTCCCTTCTCTTGCTTTATTGTGTTGGAAACTTCAAATGAAGGAAGAGACAAGTTCCTAAGAGAAAGAACACAGGAAGAAATAAAGAACAGCCTTGAACTGGGGCAAGAGAACGCTGAGAGGGATGGGTTTCCACTGACTGCATGTTAATCTCGGCACCAGGAGGGCTGTCAGCCTGACACCACTGTGTGCAGAGTCCAGTTCAGACGCCACAGATAATGGGCTATTGGTTCTTTACCCTGGCCCAGGCTGGGAGTAATGGAAACTCTCGATGAGTCTGGGTGTCTGTCTCGAAAACATAGTCTGTGTGATTGGTAGTAAATGTGTGTGTGTGTATTTGTGTGTATTCATGTGTGTCTGTGTGTTTCTGTGTATCTGTGTGTCTGTGTGTATCTGTGTGAGTATGTGAGTGTATCTGTGTGTCCATGTGTGTATTCATGTGTGTCTGTGTGTTTCTGTGTATCTGTGCGTGTTTGTGTGTATCTGTGTGAGTATGTGAGTGTATCCATGTGTCCATGTGTGTATTCATGTGTGTGTTTCTGTGTGTCTGTGTGTCTGTGCGTGTTTGTGTGTATCTGTGTGAGTATGTGAGTGTATCTGTGTGTGCATCAGTGTGCATATGTGCGTGCGTGTATGTGTGCATATTTGTGTGTTACAATACTTACAGACGCAGAATGTGTGTGTGTTTGACTGTGTGTATGTGTGTATCTGTGTGTAAATCAGTGTATGTGTGTGTACATGTGTTTATCCATGTGTATATGTGTGCATATGTATGTATCTGTGTGTAGTGTGTGTATTCATGTGTGTCTGTATGCATGTGTGTATGTGTGTATCTGTGTGTGCATCTGTATCTGTGTGTGCATGTGTATATCCATGTGTGTATGTGCACATATGTGTGTCCGTCTGTCTGTCTGTCTGTCGGTCGGTCTGTGTGTTTTGCTGGGGAGAAAACATGTGGCCATTACTTACACTCCTGGGTTAGATTTTTAAATGGAAACATAGGACTCAAAGAAAACAGCTGAGAGGAGAGAGAGGGGAGCTGGGGAAGGAGTCATCTGAGGGGGTGCAGCAAAGCCACTGTGGTGTGATGGGGCTTGTTAGGAAGTCTTGCTTGACGTTTGGGACTGAGGAATGTCTCCAGCCACCCTTGCTCTGCGGGCTGTATTAGTGCTGTGGAGGCATCAGTGCTTGGGGCCTGCCTGAGGAAGGCACCAGGTTCAAGGTAGGTGGGGAAGAAGGATGAGAAGGGGTGGGGTTGACAGTCTGAGAGGGCCTGAAGTCACAGCTAGGAACTCAGTGGTGTGAGATGGTTTCCACCTCCCTCTGTAGTTTATGATAGGGGTGCAGAGATGGCTCAGCTGTTAAAGTCTAGGCTCACACCAAAATTTCAATGTACACAAAAACAGAGAGAATGACATCCTTCTGAAGTCCCCTCACCCAGTGACACTGGCCATCAGGTCAGTGATGTCTGGAGCAGTCTTAGCCTCTGACCGTTGCCTCAGATCCCCCCCCGTCTGCATGTATGGCTGAATGAGACTGTGGGGCATTGTCTAGTTCCTGTCCCTTTCCCTCTGTTCAAGAGCACTTAGGGGACTGACTCACAACCCCTAAGAGAGCATGCAGGATTCCAATGGGAGCTAACGAAAGAGAGGGAATCCCTGTAGTTGGCCAGGGCTGTAAACAAATGAGGTTGTGTGGCCAAGAACACAAAACCTTCATATCCCACACTTCAGGAGCCCAGATGTCTGTGATCAAATGCTAACACTGATGTAGGATAACGTTCTTGTTCACTGTAAAGATTTGCCACTCATATTGGTTTAATAAAATGCTGATTGGCCAGTAGCCAGGTAGGAAGTAGAGGCATGACTACCAGACAAAGAGAATTCTGGGAAGAGGAAAGGCAGAGAAGCAGTCGCCAGCCAGATGCAGAGGAAGCAAGATGAGAATGCCTTACTGAGAAAATGTACCAAGTCACGTGGCTAAACATAGATAAGAATTATGGATTAGTTTAAGCTGTAAGAGTGTGTTAGTAATAAGCCTAGGCCAAACCATTTATAATTAATATATGCCTCTGTGTGTTTATTTGGAACTGAACGATTGCAGGATTGGGTGGGACAGAAACCGCTGTCCACAGACACAGTGGGCAGAATCCGCCCTGGCCCTCTCTCCATGGCTTGCAGAGACCATCTTCTTCCTGTCCCTTCATTTCCTCTAATGGCCTCATTTTAACTTGATTATCTCTAGAAAGACCCTCCCTTTGAAGCATGTCCTGTTCCACAGCACTGGGGGTGAAGACTACGTGTGGGAAACTTCGATTTGAGGAGAAGGGAAGACACACTGAGAAACACAACACCCTCCAGTGGGTTCCCACAGGTGGGCAGTGGGCCGAAGAGAAAGGTCTGTGGAGTGAGGAGAGACAGAGGGAGGCTAGCCAGCTCCTTCCTAGCAGGCACCCATGTTCCAGGGTTGGCACATCTAAGAGAGTAGGTCCACAAGGGCCTCTGGACAGCTGTCACTGGACATCTTAGTCCCAGGGGTTAACCCTTAAAGGACTGGAGGTGAATAATTTATCCAGCCTCTATTAATGGATCAAAATTATTTTGGAAAATTGGAGAAGTAAAAAAAAAATGATACTTCTGCATCCCTTCAGTAAATTAACAGAGTTATACTCACCAAACCTAAGGTGGGAAAGCTGCATGTTTACACCCAGCCTGGGCCCCATTTGACCCTTGACACCCCAAAGGTAAAACCAAGGAATCTGGCATTCCAGAGGACTCAGTCTGGATCACTTGGGGTTCACCCTGACCCCTATGTAATATGTTGTGCCACCGAGGTCCTCACACTGACAGGCAGGTCAGCAGTCTAGAATCCTTGTTTCACTAGGCCCCTTTCCCGGTGGCTTCCTCAGACGTCCCCAGAGAAGCTGATACTCATTCTGGCCCACGAGCGGCCTGCTGTGAGCTGCATTTCACTGCACACCAAACAGCTGGCTCCTGGGGCCTTGTGTTGTGTCGTCCTTGCATTTCAGCCATTCCAACAATGTTCTTTTAGCATGTCCCCACCAATTTTATAGGACATCTTTGCTCTTTTCCTGAGGAAGCATTCCAAATTCACCTTGTCCTTTTCCAGATCTGGGAAAGCAATTCATCAAAGGAGTCCTGGTTGTCTGTTGCATTTTCAGTAGTTTAACAGAGGGGGGGGAGGGAGGGAGGGAGTGATGGAGGGAGGAAGGGAGGGAGGGATGGAGGGGGGAAGGAGGAGGAGGAGAAGAGAAAAAAGCAAGGAAGAAAGGAGGGAAGGAGGAAGGGAGGGGAGGGAGGGAGGGAAGGAAGGAAGGATGGAAGGAAGGAAGGATGGAAGGAAGGATGGAAGGATTTAAGGAGTAATGATGTGTTGTGAGAAAAACCACCACAGAATGGATGTTTCTTTTAATGGGATTTCATATTTCTCACACACTGAAGAAATTCCTGTATGCAGAAACAGCTGAGATCTTACTTCTCAAATCCATCTCCAGAATTCTTTAATGCATTCCTTTCTGAGTCACCTGTCGAGCTGGGGTTTGTTCTCTGAAACTAACTCTTACCCACAGAGCGTCTGAGACCAAGATGGTGCCAAGCAACCGCTGCTCAGGGAAATGAGATGGTGACATTGTATCTTCCCCCGGCTGGATGTGAGGACATCAGTGACATGCTAGCAGCGGGAGACCTCATCCTGGTCCTTCACATCACACAATAACAATAGGATGATCACCTGTGGTCGGTTAGAATGAAGACAAGTCTTCAGGGGACATGGCTGTCACAGCCTATTGTGAATGAAGAAGAAATACAAAGCTTGGGTGTAAGCTGGCTGCTTCCAGCAACACAGAATGCCTGAAGTAGTTAAGAGCTCTGGATTTTTCTTAAAAAAATAGATTTTAAAAAGCAGGTTGGGGAAATAGCTTTATTGAGTTATAATTCATACACATAAACTGTCCATACTTAAAGTGGACAGCTTGATCAATTTTGACATGTTTTATACAATTGCTCCTCAATACCCATGGAGTTTTAATTCCAAAATCCTCTGTGGATACCCAAATCTATAGGTGCTCAGGTCCCCTGTATAAGTGGGGAAATATTTACATATGAACTATGAATAGCCAGCCTCCTGTATACTTTAAACAATAATACAAATGCTACAGAAACAATGGTAAACTATTGTCTAGGAAGGAATGGCATTGAAAATCTACATGTTGGGACAGATATAATTGAATTATTAAAAGCTGTACACATAGGGATTCCATTATTACATTTCCACACATACATATAATGTCCTCTGATCATACTTACCCTCCCTACTTCCCTTTCTTATTCCCCATCCCCCCACCTTTCCACATCCCTAAATGCTTTTACTGTCATGTCCTAGTATTGCGCCCACCTAGATTCCACATTAGACAGCAAACATCTGAAACTTGTCTGTCTGCATCTGAGTTATTTCATTAACGATGATGATCTCCAGCTCCAACCCTTTTCCTGCAAACAACATAATTCCATTCTCTTTTATGATCGCATAAAACTTCATTGTGTATATATAACACATTTTCTTTGTCTGTTCTTCTATTGGTGGGCACCTAGGCAGATTCTACATTCTGGCTATTGTGGATAGTGCTATCATGGACATGAATATGCTGCTGTTCCTATAGTAAACTGATGTTGCTTCCTTGGGACATAAACACAGGGGTAATACAGCTGGAATATGGATCATACACTGCGGCTGGACTAATTTACATGTTCACCTGCAGCCGGGGCTCCTTTTCACCCAGTTCCTCATCAGCGTTTGTTGTTTGTTCACTCTTTCTGCTTCCTTCCTTCCTTCCTTCCTTCCTTCCTTCCTTCCTTCCTTCCTTCCTCTCTTCTTTCATTTCTTCCTTCCTTCTTCCCTTCCTTTTTTATAATAGCCATCCTGACTCAGGAGAGATGGAATTAGTTTTTAATCACATTTAATTATTTTATTTTAGTATGTGTGTAATTTGCCTGCATGTATGTCTGTGCATCACATACATGCTTGGTGTCCAAGGAGGCCTGCAGGGGGCATTGGATCCCCTAGAACTGGAGTGATAAATGAATTTGAGCTACCAAGTGTTGGGAATTGAACCCAGGTCCTCTGGAAGAGCAGCCAGTGTGCTCTTACCTGCTGTGCCATCTCTCCACCTGATCTTAATGCATTTTATGTACATTTCACTGACAGCTAAGATTTTGATATATATTTATTAACTTTTCTTTCAGTGAGATAAAGTCTCACTATGTAGCCCGGGCTGGCCTTGACTTCCTTCAGTAGATCAGGTTGGCCTCGGACTCACAGGGATCTTCCTGCCTCTGATCCTCAACATCTGGAATTAGAGGTATGAGCAAACACATCTGGCTATTTCAATTTTTAAAGAAACATTTAGTGGAGCCTGGCAGTGGTGGCACATACCTTTAATTCCAGCACTTGGGAGCCAGGTGCAGGCGAATTTCTGTGAGTTTGAGACTAGACTGGTCTACAGAGTAAGTTCTAAGACAGCCTCCAAAGGCACAGAAAAACCCTGTCTCAACCCCCCCCCAAAACTTTAAATTTCACAGATTCAACATTTATAGAAAATATTTTGTTGTTTTTTATTACACTTACTTTTTATTGGGGAGAGGATTGCACACATATTATGTAGCATATGTGACAATCAGAGGGCATTTTTGTGGCATTGGCCCTCTCCATTCACCTTATACAGGTTGTGGGGATTGAACTCAAGTCACCAGGCATACAAGGCAAACACCTTTAGCCACTAAGCTATCTTGCCTACTTTCAAAAATACTTCCTAAGAAGCCCGTGAGATAGCTCATAGGGTTAAGGCATTTGCCATCAAGCCTGACAACCTGCGTTTGATATATAGACCCACATGGCAGACAGCTAACGATGGGAACTCAGGTCATCAGGAAAGTGGTTTACCCACTGAGCCTATACTTGCCTTTCTGTTCACTTGCTGAAGGATAGTTGGATTGTTTCTAGTTGTAAATAGAACAGCTATAAATATCATCGCAGAGGTCGATGGAAGGCAGCCATAACCACCATTGTAGTCCAGAGGTTTTTGTGTGGACATACACTTACATGCTTTGACTTTTCTTGGCTAAACACCTAAGGAAGATTGGGTGGTGTGCCAGCTAGTTTTATGTCAACTTGACACAACCTAGAGTCATCAGAGAGGGGGAGCTTCAATTGAGAAAATGCCTCCATGAGATTATGTTGTAGGTAAACCTGGGGGCATTTTCTTAATTACTGATTGATGCAGGAGGGCTCATTGTGGGTGGGGCCACCTCTGGGCTGGTGGTCCTGGAATGGTATGAGAAAGCAAACTGGGCAAGCCACGGAAGCACAACTCCTCCCTGGCCTCTACATCAGCTCCTGCCTCCTGCTTGAGTTCCTTTCCAGACTTCCTTTGATAATGAACTTTGATGTGAAAGTGTAAGCTGAACAAATTATTTCCTCCCCAACTTGCTTTTGGTCATGGCGTTTCATCCCAGCAATATTAACCCTAAGACAGATAAATACATCATATGTGTTTACTTAGCTGTTTTTAAAGAAACTTCCATATTGTATCCTAAAGTGGCAATATAATTTTCCATTCCCATCAATGGGCCTCATGATCTATCTAGATATGTCTTTGTCTATCTATTGACGTGCTTTCCTTTTTTAACGACTACTGAGTTTAGAGATTTCTTTATGGGTACTGCCAATCCTTTATCATCCATGTGACTTGTATCGAGTGGGGATCAAGACTCAGTAGACTCAGTACAGGTTAAGTGAATTTTATTCGGGGAGAATGCACTTACACAAGAAGTGGGTGACCACCCCAAGTTCTAGCTCCAAGGATTCACCAAGGCTACCCTCTGTGACCCAACCAGAAGCAAGAGAGCCAGCCACCTGTCCCAGACCTAAACCCGAATCTGCACCTGCTGACGACATCCAAATGGTACTACAGGTGTGGGTGGGGTGGATATCTCACTACAATTCCCCTTTTAGTTTAAAGAAAAAGATTTAGGCTTGATACAAAACTGTATACAAAGATAGCAAATATCAAGTATGTTCTAGGAGAAGGAAAAGTAAGAACAAACACATTTAAGACCTATTGCCAGTGAAGCAGCTAGAACAAAAGACAAGAACTACATATTCAATCCTAGGGTAAAGGCATAACAGAGATTACTATAGAGTTGTCCTAAACTGGAAAGTTTAAGTCTTGTACCTAATACTTCTATTTAGGATGAGAGAGCAATAATTGTGACAGACTAATCTTGAACCTCATCAAAGACCTGAGAAGGAAGATAACAATACTAGGGTAGGCAGGAAGTGCAGGCGAGCAACTTCCAAAGGTGTAGCAAAGACAGAAACAGCAGGCTACCTGGACAGTCACCCAGAGTCTCACAGCAGCATAGGGGCAACCAGCTAAGGCCTAGAGCATCTGACTGACCAACACAGAAGCAGGGAGGTAGAAAGGCTGTCTTTCCCTGACTTGGCAAGGTTCAGCAGTCCTCTAAGTTTATCTCCTACAAGCACAGTAGGACAGCATGTCTAAAGTCAGCCGTCGAGGTAGGAGCAGTTCTTTGCCCAAGAGGCCATTAGCCGAGGAGAAAATGGACTCCAGAATGAATGACATTGGTGCCCAACAGTTTTTCGGGAAAGCTTGGTGCTGTCAGGAGCAACTGTGTCTCATGCCAACGGAGTACTAATACTAAAACATTTAAATGCCATATTCTGCACATCTATGAAGTGTTTGAAGACCAAATGTCTGACTAATCTCATAGGTACAAGAAATGTAGGTGATAATAATCTGTAATTCTCGGGAATATAGTTGTACAATGGCTGAAGCTTCCCAAAATAATTTATCAAGGACAAAGACTTCAAAAAACGTAACTATATACATATATACATATAAATCTCACTAACAGAGAGAGAACTGAAATGTCTTAACTAGAAGTAGAACTGTAAAGTGTAATATCATAAAATATTCTAAGTTGTATCAATATACAAAATGTATGTATATTAAGATAGTTTCATATTTGTGTGCAAAACATCATAAACAGAAAGAAGACCCTAAACAGTCAACATACAAGAATCTAATAATTTAAGTTATCAAGATCTAACAATTTAAGTTATCTATAGCTAACAGTTGCAAAAGTTAGTTCACTAGAAAATATGTAAATCTGCCATTCCTTTATCGTCCATGTGACTTGTTCGTAATTTCTCACAATCTGTGACTCCTTGCGGATCTAACAGTCTTTGTACATGTTCAGGTGCATCTGCAGAGGCCAAAAGTCAGCCTCAGGTGTAGTTCCTCAGGAGCTGTCCAGCTGCTTTGTGAGACAGGCTCTCTGACTGGAACTCCGGGACTGACCAGTTAGGCAAGGCTGGCTGGCCCGTGAGCTCCGTGATCAGCCAGCCTGCCTCTACCTCCTGAGAGCTGGAACTACAAGCCTGTGTGTATTACTATGCCTGCTTTTTGTGTGGGTACTGGAAATTGAACTCATATCTTTAAACACACACAGAAAATACTGAGATATCTCTCCAGCCCCTCATTTGCCAATGTCTTTTAAAATGATGTGTTTTATTTGTAAATGTGTGTGTGGGGGTATGTTTACATGGTACAAGCATCCTTTAAGGTCAAAGGTGTCCAATCTCTCTGGAGCTAGTGTTACAGGTGGTTATGAACCACCTGACCTGGGTGCTGGGAATCAAACTCAGGTCCTCAACAAGAGCAGCAAGAGGTCAGGCATTGTGATGCACACCTTTGATCCTCTCGCTTGGGAGGCAGAGGCAGGCAAATCCCTGTGAGTTAGAGTCCAGCCTTGATTGTATAATTCAAGTTCCAGCCAAGTCTGCATAGAGCAGTGGTTCTCAACCTGTGGGACACAACCCTTTTGGGGATTGAAAGACCCTTTCACAGGGGTCACCTAAACTATCAAAAACATGGATATTTACATTATGATTCATAATAGCAAAATTACTGTTATAGCTGGGGGTCACCACACCATGAGGAACTGTATTAAAGGGTCACAACATTAGGAAAGTTAGAACCACTGGCATAGAGAGACCCTGTCTCAAATCAAACAAACAACAAAAATAAAAGCAGTGAGCATTCTGAGCTGGTGAGGCATCTCTCCAGTCCTAGAAATGTCTTTTGAAAAGCAGTTCTTTGATTGGCGTCTGTGTTATTTTTGTTGGTTGAGATAGTCTCACTTTGCAGCTCAGGGTGCTCTTGACCTCCATGTTTTCCTTGGGTTCTGAGATTATTTATGTGCACCACTGTCTTTAATTAGGGTTTCTATTGCTGTGCTGAAACACATGGGGAAAAAGCTGGGGAAGAAAGGGTTTATTTCACTTACGCTTCCACATCACTGTTCATCATCAAAAGAAGTCAGGATGCAACTCAAACAGGGTAGGAATCTGCTACTGGCTTGCTTCCCATGGCTTGCTCAGCCTGCTTTCTTATAGAACCCAGGATCACTAGCCAGCCCCAGGGATGGCACCACCCACAATGGACTGGGCCCTCCTCCATGAATCACTAATTAAGAAAATGCTCTACAGTCTTGCCTGCAGCCTGATCTCTCTCTCTCTCTCTCTCTCTCTCTCTCTCTCTCTCTCTCTCTCTCTCTCTCTCTCTCTCTCTCTCTCTCTCTCTCTCTCTCTCTCTCTCTCTCTCTCTCTCTCTCTCTCTCTCTCTCTCTCTCTCTCTCTCTCTCTCTCTCTCTCCCCCTCTTTTGGTTTTTTGAGACAGGGTTTCTCTATATTGCTTTGGAGCCTGTCCTGAAACTTGCCCTGTAGACCAGGCTGACTTTGAACTCACAGAGATCTGCCTGCCTCCCAAGTGCTCAGATTAAAGGTGGGCGCCATCAGCACCCGCCTGCAGCCTGATCATAAGGAGACATTTTTCTCAGTTAAGGGTCCCTCCTCCCTGATAACTCTAGCTTGTGTCAAGTTGACATAAAACTAGCGGGTACAACCACTGTATCTGGCTGAGAAGTTCCTAGTTTTAGTGAGGGGTCCGGGGAGATGGCTCAGCAGTTGAAAGCACTATTTGCTCTTCCAAGATTGAATTCCCAGCACCCCATGGCATCTCACAACTATGGTAGCTGCCCTCTTCTGGCCTCTGCGGGCACTGCATGCACATGTTGCATACATGTGTGCGTACGTATGTACATATAATGTTGAGGGCCAGAGAAATGGCTCAGCAAGTAATAGCTGTTGCCACCAAGCCTGATGACCTGAGCTTGATCCCCGGGGCCTAATGAGGGAAGGAAAGAACCAGCTCCTCCAAGTTGACCTCTGACCCTCATTTATGCACATGCATGCCCCCTACACTAAATCAAAATTTTTAAGGGGTTTAATAATGTTGAATATTTGGGAAAAATGATAAATTCTGCTTTTAG